AGAGGCACAATGTAAAGTCATATGAAAATTATCAGAGATTTATCTACACACCCCCCATCCCCTCTGCAAGACTGGGACTAGCACACCCTGGGACTAGGGACGGGGATCCGTCCCATCATCTTTCCTAGGAGACACCAGCCCCAGAAAGCCCTGGTTCCTTCTCCCTTGGGTGCCTCTGACCACTGCTGAGTCCAAGCCCTGCCCCTGCTCATGCTGATAAACACAGGATGGAGCTGAATTCACTCCCATACTGAGCTGCTTTGTGCAGGGGAATGTTTCATTGTGTGCGCCCCCCTCCCACCCCCAGGATGCAGAGATCATCCGGACACGGGAGCCCCAGCTGCTGTCCGAGTGCAACGTGGTGGTGGATGTGGGTGGCGAGTACGACCCTCAGAAACACCGGTACGATCATCACCAGAGGTGAGGACGGAAACGCACAGCCTCTGCCTGGCCCCTCCCACTGCGGGGGGTCAAAGCATGTTGCAAAGGAAAGGGCAGGAGCATCATGCCTCCCTTTATAGATGGGGAAACAGGCACAGAGAGGGGGAGGGGAATCGGCGTGGACCAGCAGACAGAATGCAGGGCTGGGACGCAGGCCACCTGGATTCTATTCCTGGCTCTGCCGCTGACCTTAGGCATGCCCCTTCCATTCTCTGGACTTCTTTTCCTTCCCGCTCTGTATCTGTTTTAGAGTGTGACCTCTTCTGGTGCGGAACTGTCTGTGCAGCACCTAGCGCAGTGGGTCCCTGTTCTCGATTCTCCTGGGATACAGTTAATTATGTAACAGCAAGGTGACTTGCCCAAGGTCCTACACCAAGCCACTGCGTAGAACCCAGGGGTCCTTACTGTCACTGGGTCATGGGGCACGGGGCCTGGACCTGTCCTCTAAGGGTATGTCTACACTGCATTGTAAACCCAGACTCAGATTTGAGCCCAAACCTGCCTACCATCCACACGCAAATCTGACTAACCCGGGTCCTAGGACCCAGCCCAGCAAGGGAAGAGAGGTCTGAGTTCAAGTCCCACCGAAACTGGATGCAAGCCCTGTCATTTTGCAGTGTGGACGCAGCTCCAGCCGCAGACCTGAGTCAGAAGGGCTGCGTAGTGCTGTATGGATGGGTTAGCCTGGCTCTGAGACCCAGGTCCAGCCATTGTACGCCCAGGTTTACAACGCAGTGTGGATGTCAAGTGCTGGCTTGGACACGCTGAGTCCATGAGCTGGGGTCGCCCAGATCTGGGGTTTCGATGCAGTGTGGACGCACCCTAATGGCTAGTATTTCATTGATTTTGGTGTATTATACACTAAAGAAGGAGGGGTCACCCCGGGGCCTTAGGAGCTCTGGCTAATTCTTCTCTGCCTTTTGCAGGTCCTTTGCACAGTCCATGCACTGCCTGAGGCCCGACAAGCCCTGGAAAACCAAGCTGAGCAGTGCGGGGCTGGTGTATTTCCATTTTGGCTCCCAGATCCTGGCCAGCCTGCTGGGGCTGAAGGAGGAGGATCCGGTAGTGCAGGCGCTGTACGATAAGGTAGGAAGTAGGGAGGCAGGGTGGGTGGGCACTAACCGGGGTGCCCCACACTCCAGGGCTAAAAAGGCCTGTTTTCCTCCTTAGAAAAATCATAACTAATACCCCTTTCTGGCCCCTCCTCTCTGAAGATCTCAAAGCACTTTGCCTCCTGTGTGGTGGATTGGTATCCTTAGCCTTGTTTTATAGCTGGAGAAACCGAGGCACAGAGCAGGGACATGTCTTGCCCAGGAATGGTGACTCACCAGTAGAAGTGGGATTGGAACCCCAGCCTCCCACCCCACATACTCTAACCATTAGACCCCCTTCCCCTCCCAGACCTAGGAATGGAACCCAGGAGTCCTGGCACCATCACCTTGCTCTAACGGCTGGCTGATGCTCCCTTTGTAAAAAGTACTGTTCTGCTGAACTTCCCCAGGAAACCCCCCCTTTTTTTTTAGACACTCGCTGTCCATATTCTCGGATTCCCACCATGATGGGGGGCAGTGGGGGATTCCTCCCAGCTGCATGCCAGAGACAGGGGAATCCGTCTCTGCTGTCTTGTTCGGAAGCTGCAGTCTTGTTCGGAAGCTGCAGGGGCCAGTTCGGCTCCTGGTACAGGCTCGGCCTGTCCTAACTTGAAAAGCACCCATGGGACTTGGCAGGGGTGCAGAATTGCAGATGGGTAAGAATGCCCCATCCTTGCCTCTGCCCTGACACAGGATGTCCCTGCTTCTGGGATAGAGGGGTCGCTGGGATCCCCCAGGAGGGGCTCTTTGGCCTGGCCTGCCTAGCAGGCATAGAGGGGTTGGAGGGGAACTGGAGAATCTCGGCATATGGTTTCCTGCTGATGCGTGCCCGGAGTTGCTGTGGTTTACAATGGGCGCTCTATCCTCCAACACCCTAGCCCAGTTCAAATGTGTGCCGTATAAACAGAGCTAAAGCGCAGGTAGGCTCATGGTCTCAGCCCCTTGGGGCAGGTCGTTTTCCCAGCAGCCCTTGCTGCTCCTTCTGCCGGTAGCTGGAAATGCAGAGTTTGTGGGCTCAGAAGGCCAAGCTGGGTCCTTTTCTGCATCATGGCGGCCGATAAAGGATCTGCAGGGGGAGCCGGGCTGCGATTCTGCCTGAGCCAGAGCAGACTCTGGCTTGGTCTGGGTATCTGCAGGGCTGGCGGGAGTTAACCCTCTTTGTGGCACTGAAGCCAGCAGGTCGCCGTGGCCACTGTCTCAGACGGGCCTGTTTTTACGGCCTCTGATCTGCTCGTGACCGGCCTGAATCCGCCATGAGGTTCCATCGGGAGGCAGGCAGGGCGAGGCGTCCCTGCTTTATCCTCTCCTCCGCCCCCATCCCAGCTGTACGAGAACTTTGTGGAGGAGATCGACGCCATCGACAACGGCATCGCCCAGTGGGACGGGGAGCCTCGCTACGCCATGACCACCAACCTCAGCGCCAGGGTGGGCTACCTCAACCCCCGCTGGAATGACAAGGACCAGGACACGGAGGTAGGCGCGTGGGGGCGGGCGGAGGGGAAAGCACGGGTACCAAGTGGGCTGCACCATGGAAACGTGGAGGGGAGCATAGACTTGGATAGGGGGTGGACTGTACCATAGGTACCGACTCTGAGAGTGCTCCGGGGCTCAAGCACCCACCAACCACAGCTGTTCAGTGGAGAGCAGCAGGCGGGCAGGGGCCTTGGGGGAGGGGGTGGAGTGGGAAGAGGCAGGGGGCAGGGCCTCAGGGGAGGGGGTGGAGCAGGGGCAGGAAGAGGCAGGGTGAGGGCGGTGCTTTGGGGGAAGGAGCAGAGTGGGGCGAGGCCTCCGAATGGAGCAGGGATGGAGCCTCCCACAGGGAAAAATAAAAGTCACTCCCAATGGGCTGGGGAAGGAGCAGCTAACGTCCCTGGCTTGTCTCCCCTCCAGGCCGGGTTCAAGAAGGCGATGGAGCTGGTGGGCCGGGAGTTCCTGGACCGTCTCGATTACTACCACCGCGCATGGCTGCCGGCTCGCACGCTGGTGGAGGAAGCCATTCAGAAGCGCTTCAAGGTATCTTCGAGCGCGCTGGGGTTCTTGGTCTGGGGGTTGCGACCAGCCCTGGCCTCCCCTCGTGGGGATTCTCAAGTTCGGGGGATCCCGGGGTAGAAGAGGCTGATCACTGTCCTATCAGCTATACGCTGGGCTGGGGTGTTGAGCCTAGAGCTGCCCCCGTTGGCAGGGGGAGTAGAGCTTGGGTCCAGTGCCCAATGTGGGTTTCCAAGGATAATTCATACCCTTTGCCAGCATCTCCCATCCAAGGATCTCCAAGCACATGACATCCACCGGGGGTGACGCCCACCACACACACACACTATATCAATACATTTCCACTCTGCAGAAGTGGGGCAGCAACCTACCTGAGGCCATGCAGTGAGTTGGGAATAGAGCCCAGGAGTCCTGATTCCCAGCATGCCCCCTGCCTGCGTTTCTCTGGTCACTGAACCTGCCTGGAAATTATTCCCACTTGCTATTCCAGTGGCTCTGCTTCCACAGGCAAGTGGGTTTCTTTCGACCCCAACTCCCTCCCTGGGGCCGTGACGACTATCTGTACCTCATTGGGCCAGGCACCACACAGTCAGGGACTGCGCCCGAGCGTGCCTGAGTCAGGGACTTGCCCAAAGAGCTCAGACACGGGAGGGGAAACTGAGGCACAGAGCAGGGCAGTGACTTGCCCGAGGTCACCGAGCAGGGAATAGTCCCAGCCCAGGGCACAATCCATTGTGGTCATAAGGCCCAGCATCCGGGAGCTCTTATCTGCTCCCTTCCCTTCCTGAGTCCCATGTCTCCCTCTCCCCTGGCAGGTGGACCTCAGTGGCGAGATCCTTGTGTTCTCCCAGGGCGGCTGCCCCTGGAAGGAGCATCTCTTCAGCCTGGAGTCGGAGCTGGGGGTGGAGAAACCCATCAAGTTCGTCTTGTACGCAGATCAGAACGGCCAGTGGCGAGTACAGTGCGTCCCCGCCGGGCTCCACACCTTCCAGAACCGGTGAGACGCTGAGCCCCCCCGAGTCCCACCCCCAATCTTCTCCTGCAGATATCCCCCCCCGCAATGGGGTGAGAGAGAGACAAGCCACTGCCTCTGCGAGGGGAGCAGGGGGGTGGGGGTGGAAGCCCCTAAATGACATAATTATACCAGTACAAACACTGTGTAAACTAGGCCCAAGCGGGACTCACTTGGGTTCATCTTAAACCTGCTCCTAATGGAAACCGAAATCGGAGCATCTGTCTGTCTTGGGTATTTCTGGGTGCCGCCCAGCTCAGTGTGTGAGCTGGGTCAGGCGAGGATGCCAGGGAGGTCGAGAGCCTTCGGACGCGCGTCAACCCCGCCCTTTTCATCCTTGCTCCGTTTCTCTCCTGGCCAGGCTGTCCCTGCCGGAGGAGTGGCGCGGAGTCCGGGATGAGGCGCTCTCCCAGCTCAGCGGCATCCCGGGCTCCGTTTTCGTGCACGCCAGCGGCTTCATCGGCGGCAACCGGACCCAGGAAGGGGCGCTGCGAATGGCTCAGAGCGCGCTGGCTCGGCAGACTGGCCCTGACGCACCGAGCAGCTGAATGCCCCTAGACCATCCCGACAGAGCCAGCCTCCGGGGTGAGTTTCTGGGTCTCGCTAAGCCTGTCCGAGTCGTGCCGTGAGGAGAGCCAGTGGAGAGCTCCCGAACTGGGCCCTGGCCGGCGGAAACGCCTGGAGGATTGAGGCCGGGTGGCCATGGAATCACAGCGAGGATTGGAAAATGCTGGGAGTGGAATAATAATAATAAAGGATTGTGGATGGACCTGTCTGTGTTGGGTCTGTCTGTAGCGGTGCATGCGGGGCCGGGCCAGGCCATGATGTAAATCAGGTCGGCCATGCTGGTCCCAGCCCCATATTATATGTGTGCTGTGCATCGGTGCTGGGTTGCATCAATGCAGGTACGCCAGGTAAACAAAGCAACACCAGCTGTGACATTCCCCAGGGCACGTTCTGGACTGATGGACAATTCTCCAGCCTGGGGTGCACCTTTTACACAGCTTCGCTGTGAGAGCAGCCACCCCTGGTCTGCTCACATGCAGCCTCCAGCAGGTACATCACTCCCAGCTACACGGTCTGCTATAGCCAGCCACTCCTGACTTCCACTGCAGAGAAACACCAGCAAGCTCCCAGTCCCAGACTTGCCCCCAGAAACGTGAGTCATGTACTGCCCAGCTCTCTCCTGGACAATACAACTTCATATAAAGTCTGTCATTTTATTAACTTAACAAGCTAAATGAATTCAAAGCACAGCTCTCTTTTACCACATGCTTCAGCAGTCTTACTGGTTGAACTTTCAGACAGGATCCCTCCCTTAGTCCAAAGCTGTTTCTTTGTTCCTCAGGTGGTGTGGCTGCCGTAGGGAGAGATGAAGGGAGAAAGATCTTGGGGCATCCGTTCCCCATTCTTATACCTTTTCCTCCTCTGAGAATCATCTCCAGTTGGGGTACAGGAGACAAAATCTGTGAGGATGGGAACCTCCAGCTGTTTCTTTGCCAACATGTAAATTTCTCACACCCTTTTTTCTGCCAAAGAATGGCCCTTGTCCAGATGATGGTCTGTTTGATTTTGCTGACACCTGGGTGAGGGGTCAGTTTGCCTTTTGTCTCTGAGGAACTGATGTGTGGCTGCTTCCCCAGATTTGGAACATGTCCCAGTAATATCATACAATAGAATCTTATAATTTTACATGTAATGTTGCCACACCTTTTACCAGGACAATAATGATCAGCAAATTATGAGTTTTCAGATGATACCTTGCAAGGCATAGTTTGTTCAAAATTTATCATAGTCTTATCGTAGTACAGACTGTCACACACCCTGCAATTCTAACCAGGCAATGGATTCTGCCTCTGATCTCTTTGGCATATCATCCCAATAGTCTTCCTCATGTCTTGGCAGTGATACCAGACACCTCTGTCTTCCTGGGGAACCAGGGTGCAGTATCCAGCCGGACTCATGAAAGACACCCCCCCCCCCCCCGAGCCTCTGCTTGAACCAAAACCCATCAGAAGAAGAAAACTTGCAGAGAGCAGTGAAGGGTGTTGGG